TATATTCTTGGATGGATCGATCAGAAAGGTGAGGCGGGCTATGAAAGGGTCGACAGCGAGAGGGAGCAGCAGTACTGAAACAGATCGTTATGATTTCAGATGCATGAATCTGGCGCCACTCCGGGAAAGGAGGTCTGGTTTTACAGTACCTCGCTTATTGCCATGCATCGAGTGTTTTTTGCCTAGGATGCTTTATGTAAACTCTCTTTCAAAAACGAGAAGGGCGTCGGGTGCAGACCATACACCACAAGTGACGACGGCCTCCCAAAATGTAAATGTTTTCTGCCAATGAAATGATTAGCCTGTTGCAGTTGTATTCTATCAGTTGTCACTAATTACAACTATCATTTACCAAAATCAGCTATCACTGAACCACTACTAACCAGATTTACTTGGAGGCCGTCGTCACTTGTGGTGTATGGTCTGCATCCAGCGCTCTTTCTCGTTTCTGGAGAGAAGGGTGCTCTATTCCCGAAGCTGACTGCTTTCGCTGCACGTGCACCTATGGCTCAGGTTGTCGCACGCCCGACTGCTATGGCTTCATGTCGCTTGACATAGCTTTCAGTTCGAGTCGTCTGATAGCATTCATTTCTGTTGGTAGCCCAAATAATAGCCCAATCAGCCACAGCAACGGCTTGTTGTTGCTTTATTGTCCCCTATGTTTACTCTTGTTTTGTATCGCTCGCATTTGCCTGCTGCACAAGCGCAAATATCTGCTTGAACTGCACTGAACTGAACTGAAATGCTCTGCTTAAACTCATCTGTTCTGCAATTACGTTATGTTATCCTATTTTGTTTCGTTTGACATCGTTCTTCACAAGCGACAATCTTCATTGCTCGTTCTCGTCTTCATCATTTACAACCATACCCCATGCCATGCTCTTCAAGTGTACTTGATATGGGTCCTTGTCATTTCCTCTCTCAGTTCTGATGCTTTCTCGACGAAACGAGGTTTCTCTGAAAAATTGAATGAAAATTTGATCGTCGCAAATTTTGACTTACCAGCTAGCGTACAAGCTCTTTGACGCAAAGAATTGCCATAGAATACGCCCATTTTTCGACCGTTCTCTTGACGAGGGGAGTTGATTTTCCGTCGTCTACTTATACGAAGTTATTACGAATATCCGTTATGAATGTGTGCATTGCTCGGCGAGACCCCTGAGAAACCACGCTGTCTTCATTACCCTGTCTTCACTTCACTCGAGTATCTATTGTTATCAACAATTTTCCATTTCATGATTTTCTTATTCATCCTCTACGTTCTTTTTTTGTCCTCTCTCTCTTTTCTCGGAACTGCCATGCGCCTATGTCTCCTTTACGAGACGTCAGACTGCGAATTCGCTGACAGCGCAGCGTGACCGCGGGCGCTAGCGAATAATAATTCGCAAAGTCTGAAATCAGCCTTTCATACTTCACGTCGCCCTCCAGCGTATATGTAGTGTACCTTCGCCTTATACATTTTTTTTTGCAAATACCCCTTACAAATGCCCTGTCATTCATTATTCAGCTTAAAGGCAAAAGTCAGGCTCGTGTTTGGGCATTATGGCGCCTGAAATTGAGTGTAGAGATGGGAGGTGGAACGACAGTGAAGAAAAAACGCAAAGAAACCGTCGACAAGACCGAAATCGAAACCCCTTCCCTTCTAGCAGTGAAGGAGGCTTGCTCGGGGGAGAGCCACGTCCAAACGAGTTTTCCGGATATGCCAGCCGTTCCATCGGTTGATACGGCAATCAACCTAGCTGATCTCACACGTTAGGCCAGCCACGCACCACATCCCGCGGTGGGCGGGACCAGCTGATGAACGAACCCATCGCTGTAAGTAGTAGGCCAGAGGCCTTGACGGCGCGCAATCTCGAGTCAGGAGTGTGGCATCACCCCTCTGAGCGCATTCCTGGAAATATTAGTGATGGAAAGGCCTTCTATGGTCACCTAATCCTGACTCGTGGCTTTAAATGCTCTTTATTGCTCACGGATTGCCTATGCGCATGTTATCTTTCGTTCTCACCATTTACGGTCTCCCCCTTCACATTTGGACAGCCGCTTACTGTCGCCTACTGTTGCCTATGAAAGGAAAAAGTTCACGTGCAGGTGGTTCCTGCCTGCGAAGAGGTTAAGTAATTGAAAACATTTATGGAGCTTGCCGGGCAAAAGGAAGGAGGAAGTGCTTCATGCAAAGTTGTTGTTGCATAAAAATCAAGCCTGACGAAGGTTTCCACGAAACATCAAACTAATTATTTGATTACATCCTACTTCGGAGCACAATAAGCCACAATGATCACATTATTAATAATAGCTTTTCAAGGCTCAGCAAGCCGCTGCTCTTCAACAAGCCGCTGCAGCCAGAGCAGCAGCAGCAGCTGCCGCACCCGCATCAAACCAGAATAAGGTGGGAATATTTGTGACAAGGCTCACTCTTGTCACAATTTTGTTGTACCTCTTAAGCATGGTGTTGTCTGTTGGTTAGGAATATGCAAGATTAAACTCTGAACCTTATGGCGTTGTCAACAATAACATTGGAGCTCTCCTCGGATCGGGTTGTTCACCTACTGTGTCAATCACTGCCTAAAACTGTTGAGCGGGATAATAATGAGAACAAAATGGAACTAATCCATTGAATAAAATAATTTCATTGATTCCAGCAGAAGTTTTCTGGTTGGGAAATCGCGGAGACATTTCAAAAGCCGTAGCCAAAGCTTTTCGAACAGCATGTCTGACTGTGCTTATTCATATGAATGGATGCTTACGAAACTATTCCGCCAGTTCACAGCTTTCCGCTGACTAGACTGAAAAAAACCACTCGTGAGGTTACTGGCAAAAATACCAACTGCTGAGTCCTTCTCTTTCTGAGCTTCGTTCAGGAAGAACGCCATTTGCTGTTTTGGTCTATTGCTTGTTGTTACGTGCAGATGCCATCATAGTGAATTATGCCCAAGATTAAGGTGCCTTGGCTCCCGTGGGCTAGGCAGCTAAGCCTTTTGCTTACGACGTTATACTAGGTTATAGAATGGAGCGTCTTTTGTCTGGACGTACACGAGGTTTTTCAATTGGTTCAATCAGAACCAATTGTGCCTAATTGTTTTTGGCCACATGCTACAAAAAACCAAAAATGTGCACAACAACATCCGCGTTATAGACGAAGAAAATTGTCAATTTTTTATTTAAAGTCGGCCAAATCGAAAACTACCGGTCATTCGACTCTTGCTACTAATTTGAATAATTGTTCCTTTCGTACACACCCTGATGATGAAAGTCTCCTGTCATACTCACTTTGGGGGTTTCATCATCTTACGGGATCCTAACCATCGATTCCAATCTCAGAAAGACAGCAGCACACTAACTGAAGCTTCCTTTTCGAAGACCACGTAAACGCCGCGGAGTGATCCCCTTTTTGTTATCCAGCAGAGAACGTTCCTTGCGCTAACTTAGACCTATTCTTCTCAATAACCGCTTTTTTGCTTCTCTTTGAACTGATTCCTTTAATCAATGGGTTCTTTCAATGGCAGAATCCCCTACAAACCGTCGCCCAATCGCCTACTCGGCAAGCACGTATGCAATGCTCTTACAAGGGAGGTCTTTCAGGGCAAGGTGCGCTTTTTGGAAACGGTTTAGTACATGTTGTAGGGACGCATGTATGGACCACAAAACCATGTTTCGTTTTCGCTGAACGGTTTTAGTAGTACCAAAAAAGTGGTGAATAATACTCTTGATGGTTCAATCCCCCGCGGCGACTAAATTTTGCAATCAAGGTTGGCCACTTGTTGGCTTCAAAATGGTCCTGACGATGAATTTGACATCTGATTTTGATATTTAGCGCGATTTGGCACCAAACCGTAGGCGCCAACCCAAATGCAAAATTTAGTCGCCACGGGGGATCGAACCCTTAACAGTACCTTATGCTTCTTTTTTGGTACTGCTATAACCGTTCAGCGAAAATGAAACATGGTTTTGCGTTCCCTACATGCGTCCCTACAATATGCACAAAACCGTTTTGAAAAAGCGCACCTTGCCCTGAAAGACCTCCCTTGTGAGCGGCGCGATGTCCTCTTTTGACAGAGTTCTTCAACTATTGTGATCATTGCTCTCTTGGCTCATTTTTAGGGGGTGAAAATTCCATTAAAAAGGGGCACGTTGAGAAGGAATAAAGGTTGAGGAAAGTCACATAGAGCTCACTCCTATGGAGAGAATACCCTGTGAAGGTATATGATAAGCCTCTTGTTATCCAACGCCGATATGCCATCAGTGAAGCTCAACGTTAAGCGAACAGTTTCCTGTAATTCGAGTCTTGTAAATTTTTTGCTCGGAGCCATTCGGCAAGATTTCTTCCGCAATTTTTCTGAGCTGCTTGCTGCTCTGAATAGTTAAGAATCATTTTCACAGTTTCAAACAAAAACCATTTGCCATCATTATCTTTTTACTCGATTTTAAGTGGCAAACTTCGATTAGACTCTACTGTCCCATTAATTTTCTATTTCCTAGGTGGGTCGAGACTATATGAAAAATTGATATGATATTACGCGCGTGGGATTAATCCTACTTTATGCTATTATGGACATGATAAAAAGCAGTGTCGGTCTGAGGCGGACGCGATGGAAAACTCTTTTGCCTTCCTCACTTTTTCAGTTAGCTAATCTGTTTCTTTCATTACAGTGGTGCCAAGCTAACTAACGTGGTATTGTCAGTGTGGTGTTAACCAATGATTGTTCAAGTTACTCCAGTAAATTCATCCCTCCATCTGATTACCCTGTAATTCGCCCTTTTAAAGAAGCGCCATTGCGTTGTTCAACATAGCGTTAGCAGAAGTGATGATGAAGACAAATCTAACTATGAGTCTGCCCTGAAAATAACCTATCCACCCCCCCCTACATTTCCCCTCAAATTGACAATACTCATCCCACTCTACTAAGTCTTCAATCCCAGTCTTGGGTGAGGTGGTAAACAACCCGTTTTACGATGAAGTCTAGCGATGAGTAAATAAGTAAGTGAAAAACAAGTGGTCGTGAATGCAAGGAAATGAGCCGGGAGCTGCTAAGGAAGTGAGATTTTCACATTGTGCAATTACGCAGATGATCACACAACTACCTCAGAACCCCGCAGTATCCTTGATTAACTCTGACTATTCCACTTATTCTCAAAATTGATAGCACAATTTTCAGGAAGAGGAGTATGCTCGACAAATGGAAGAGGAGATGAGAAGAAAAGCGGAAGCAGTAAGTATAAACAATAATTTCAACATCGATAACGTTGAAATGAGAAGCGGATTTTACGATGAAGCGACAGCTTATTAAAGAATAACGGTAGAGGTGGCCGGTGGTGTAGGAATTCCATGAGAAATGGCTCGGGACCCGAGAAATGAGGCCCCTTCCTTGCTCGTTGATTTCCACATTAATGCGACTCTCATCGGTGCTGCCCTATTCAACGCTAGCACTCTCTCTGCCAAATGGCTAGACACGACGAGTGCCTAAACAGTCAGCGAGCGTGTCGCGTCGATAGCGCGGGGGGTGGTGAGGGCCATGCCTTATAAATTACCCGCGTTCATATCCTTCGTTGCGAAGTGTGTAACAGGTCTGCACCTTTGAGGGGCCCGCCCGTCTCCAAACTAGAGAGTTTCCCTTATTCGACCTTCGATCTAATCGTGGAATCCTTCTTCAAGAATCGCATAGCTGGTAATGCATAGCAAGTTACGAAATTCGTCGGTCGAGCATATATGAAGCCAGCACGACGGATTTCGTAACTTTGATTTCACTGATGTCCTTCTCGTCGTCTCCGCGACTGAGTACCTCGCGTCGGTATCTTGCAGGGTCAACCGTCCGTTGGACAAAGTCCAACGGGGGGGGGTCGTATTTGGCTGCGCCAGAGGGAGGGGGGTCGTATTCGCAGGAGTCAACGTTGCAGTACGAAGAGGTTTTTGGGTGTAGGTGACGAGAGGTGGTTTTCGCTATAAGGAACTTAATGGGCGTTGTGATGAAGATCGCAGTTGTTGGCTCTTGCTGGGACTTAGTTCCCGCGGCAGTAGGTGAGAGGTAAAACTTCGGAGTGTTTCTTCAAATATTGAGCACAAGCGAGGGCATGGCGCACACCAGAGCAGAAGAGTCTACTGCGAAAGTATCCATGCTCACGTACACAAATATAATTCTAGAGGTGAACCAATGCCTTCAAACTGGACATAAGTTAGTATGGCACTAGATTGACTTCTTAAAGTGCTACAAAGAAAAGTTTGGGAACAAAAATACTTGCCTGTCGGCAACTTCTTTAGAAAGGGTTCAGCATCTCTAATGAAGCACAAAGCTCGTGCGATGTCACGGTATCATTATTCCCGATAAAATTGAGTTTGAAGACAGTTATCAGTGTTTAAGTGTTGAAAACCTGCGTTTTCAGGAGAGTAGCTCGGCTCCGAAAATTCGTGAAAAAAGAACGGTCCAACGGAGCGATTCTTTGACTCCTTCGACTTTAGAAGGAGCTCAAGTATTCAGTGGAAAGCTCTAACCTTCTGCTTCAATTCAGGGGGATAAGAACTGCAAAAAGTTCAATCTGAAGAAAGTTATAACAATTTGAAGCCAAAAAACCTGCGCTCTCCAAAAAATCGGTCCACGATTTCCCAAAAACGGTCCAACGGGGCGATTTTTCGGAGGAAAGAGATTTTGCAAAGCTAGAGCTTTTTTTAGAAAGAAAACAGTCTGACCTTTCCAAATTTTCTTACCGCTCCTCATAGTTCCTTCTTTGAAGAAAGTTACAACCTTTCAAATGAAGAAGTGCACATTTCTGTAAATTCTTTGTTTTCTACCCCATAACCGACGTACTTTTGAAGATAAGGCATAATAGATGTGATCCTCTGAAACAAGCAGTTAAGTAGATTACAAATCCGCTTAGCAATTTGAAAAATATTGATATTGAACAAAATTACGCTTATTTGAAAGTCAATAGTCTGTTTCTCGCGACCCGCGCTGCGCCGAGGGGGAAGATTGCGCGCGCCAATGCGAACGCAACGCTACCGTGCTCCGGTCGGACACTTCTGCTGTATACTCTCACGCTCTGAGATGCGCCATGCATTCGTTTGCAACTTGAAATCATTGTGAATATCCCCCTTTTGATGCGTTTGCATATCGATGGAAATTTTTGTGATTCTGAACGCCAAGTCATGAAAGGCAGGCAAAGCGCCATTCAAACTAATGGGCAGTACTGTTCAGCACCTAATAAAGGCAATCCGTTTTGCGATGTTATGCATAAGTAAATTACGATATCAGGAAACTAGAGTTCGTCTGCTACTGTGTTTGAATTCAAGCCAAGTGTCCTTAGATATTTTGTAGATTGCACTTACTTCCCCTAGTGTTAGCTTTTCCTTACAGTGTACCGTACATAATAAGGGGGGGGGTCGTATGGAGACTCTCGAAGAGGGGGGGTCGTAAAAATCCTGAAATCGGTCCAACGTGACGGTTGACCCTGGTATCTTGTAACAATCCAAACGCGTGCCGCCAGTCAAACTTGCAGCTTTCATGCCATTCAGTTGGATCGGGCCAGGGTCAACCGTCCGTTGGACAAAGTCCAACGCGACGACGAGAGTAATGCCGAGAGTGAACGTACGCACGGAGACACAGACGGCTCGCGGGTGGCGAGAGTGAATGCCGGCGCGGAGAGCGGTCAACATCGGTCCAACGTCGCTCCAATATCGGTCCAACGTAACGGTTGACCCTGATTGGGACTCTTCGTTGGTTTCGGCTCTCTGTCTAATTGCGCCCACGCAAGTCCTCAGCACTACCACCTCAGCAGAATGCTGCTGCCTTTTGTTTTTCTTGCCGTTAAGCAGTCACTCGCTGAAGTGAAATGTCATGGTTTTCTACCGTCGTGTATATTACACGGAAGGTAAGTATGATCGAGCACGTCGATTGTTAGAGGAACACTGAAATCACCTTCATTTCCCATCTGTACCTCGTTTTTTCTGCCCCAGTGCTATTCCATGTTAGGTCGCGTTCATAGTTCGCGACAATGAAAAACATGGTGCTTCCCACGAGGTTCAAGCTGCCGTTCGCACTTTTCAAGCGAAGGTGTCGCGCAACTTTGAGTTTGATGCCGAGGGGCGGATCGCGCTTCGACTACTTCTGGCAGAATGAAGGAAATCTGCGGAAAGTGTGGAACTGAGTGTTCTATTACGGGTTTCTTTGTATTTGGCGAAACACCCCCCCCCGTTTTTATTGACTTTAGGCAGGAAAGTTAATGTATGATTTGTGCTTTATGATACCAAATTTAAGCTCCCCCCGCCGCCGACACCGTGTTTGGGAGGGGCAAACAGTGCGGTGTGTCAGCTCCCAAGTTGATAGTTGGGGTAGGGAGAAGGGTGTCGTATGAGAGAGAGTTGGTTTCTGGGCTGTGATCTTGATGGGCGGAGCTTCGCATCGAAACCTATGTAAATGGGGAGATCGCTATATTTTTAGGAAAGTGCGAACTTCGACGGTTGACCCTGCTTCCCGTCATCTTTGTGCCTGGCCTAAGATTCTTCTCTGTTCGCCGCTATCAGACAGAAGCAGATTTTACAGCTTAGGGGATGGTATTCCTTCGCTCTTCTTCCTTTCACCACCACAACGGCTGAACTAACTTGTTAGCAGGATGAGGAACGGTCTTGAGGCTGGTGCTTGGTTCACGTCAGCTGTAGCTCTACCCCCTTTGCGTCGCCGTGCATGTCGCTTACGAAGTAAATAAGTTAGAGCAGCCTTTGTGTTTCCCATATAACGTTGCTCGCGAAGGCACTAGTCGAAACAGGTGGTTCGGAGCCTTTATGGATGCATCTACATCTGGGACGGTAGTAAAGTGCCCAAACTAGCATCAAACGTGGTGATTTTTCTCCATCCGCAGGGTGCGATTTTCGAGCTAGCTATCATAACTGACATATTCATGTTGGAAAAGAAATACTAGAATTCTCCATGCACGATTCCTTCGATTATACAGCGCTGTTCTTTGTCAAAAAAGGGCAATAGGGTTTAATCAGCTCGATGTTATGGCAAATATGCACGCCCACGCCGTCTGCTGAAAAATTCATCCAGAACGATCACCCGGGTGAATGAGCAATAAATCTAACACATTTTCAATGCTTCAGTTTCAAGCTCTGGAAAATGAAGCTAGTTTCAAACCCACGCATTCCCTGTGAAGCATTCGCAAGGCGAACTAGGGCCAAAAACAGCAGTTAACAAACAAAAACAGTCCAGAAAGAGTTTTGCCTTCAAATGTAATTGCAAAGTATTATCTGAAGCGATTACCAAAGCTTACTGTTTTCAGGCCAGAGCAGAAGCGGAAGCGGAGCGGAAGGCAGCCGAACAGCGGCAAGCGCAGCTGAAAGCACAACAAGAAGCAGCATTGAAAGCTGCGGAGGAACAAGCGAAGAAGGCTCAAGAGGAAGCACTTCGAAAGGCTCAGCAAGCCAAAGCTGAAGCCGAGGCGAAGGCTAAGAAGGAAGCGGAAGAGAAGGCTAAGGCAGCAGCACAAGCAAAGTCTTTAGCTGATGCTCAGGCAAATGCAGCTCAAGCCAAAGCGCAAGCGGAGGCCCAAGCCAAAAAGGCCCAAGAGGAAGCCAAGGCCAAAGCAGCTCAGGCAAAAGCTCAAGCTGAAGCACAAGCAAAGAAGGCTCAAGCAGAGGCGCTTGAAAAGGCAAAGAAAGCCCAAGCTGAAGCGCAGCAGCAAGGCAAGCCTCAGCACAAGCGCAGCAGAACCAGCAGCTCCAGAGCTCAGCAGAAACCAGCAGCTCCAGCAGCTCAGCAGAAACCAGCAGCTCCAGCAGCCCAGCAGAAGCCAGCAGCTCCAGCAGCCCAGCAGAAGCCAGCAGCTCCAGCAGCACAGCCGAAAACGCCGGCCAAACCTGCGGCCGCTCCGGCTGCTCCCCCCAAAACCGCACCTGCTCCTCCAGCCAAGCCAGCTCCAGCTGGAGACCACCTCCAAAGGTCAAGCCCAAACCTGATCCAGTGCCGTTGCAAGTCAATGGTAATGAGGGCTGAAGGTAACAATAAAATATCTTTGAGTCAAAATAATAATTCCAGAACCAGCGAAAGCACCTCAGAACGTACTCCTGGAAAAGTGGCTGCCGAAATGCCGCAATTCAAGCAGTACGAGCCTCGACACATTGAACTTCCCAAGGACTCCACCCTCAAGCACAGACGGCAAAGGTTCTGCATGCTTATGGTTATTTGATGGATTTGACATGCCTTGTATGTTATTGATGAATGGTAACGTGTTGTTGATTGGTCACCCTGGCACGTGCCGGTTGATACTGTTCTGCGAGAATATGCAGGGTTCTTTCGTGAGTCCGCCTCTCTCAAGAGTTTCCATTGGGCGTTGCTTTTATTTGGCTCGAGCTTTTTTCCGTAGCCCCTGTTCAGTCCAGCGTATCTAGAGTGAATGAGCTGCACATGATTCACCTTTTTATTCTCTTTACAAACTGAGTCTTTTCCTCTGAATTGTGATATAAGGCTTCGCAGTAGAGAGGGTACAAAATAGAATTAGCGCAAAATACTTTTCACTTCAACTGTTGCGCGGGCGATTACTAGAAAAGCTCACAATAGCAGCTTCATAGCAAAAACTAGTAGCAATGATTTGTCAACTAATCACCCAGTGGGTTGAGAACACCAGGAAGGTTAACTAGGTCTATTATACTCATTCGAAGGATTCTTGCCTCCGTAGTGACAGAAACACTTTTCACTTCACACCACAGAAGAAGTTCGGTAGGATTCCATAAGAGGAATCTGGAAGGGTAAAAGCTTCTTCTTCTTCCTCCTCATCATCTCCTTCTCCTTGGTGTTACTGTGTTACTCCTGTGCAGTCACCAGGGACCACTGTTTTTGCCAGCCGTCGCCATGTTGCTCTATCCAGTGCATCTTCGCTGTAACCTTGACTTCAGTAAGGTCAATACTGATTTGTGACTCTGAGACATGATTGGTGTGACTGGGGCGCTCATCTGCTGGCCCGTAAACCTGGGCATGATGCTGGTACTAGAAGCATTTCCGCATTTTACAAGGCAATGCTTAACCTCGGCAGGATCGAACTTCTGCGGCTTGCAAAGCATCTCAGACACATGAGCCACAAAACTTCGGCCACTCCGCTACTGCATGGAGGCTAAAACCATTGCCATTAAAAGTAAGGATGACAGTAAGCCTGGAAAGGTCGAAATACTTCTTAGATCTTTTATAGAGTTGATTATGCGGCTCATCTCAATATGGTAATATTCCTGAACTGAAAACCTCGCCCTCTCATTCCATTGACATTGATGCAATTCCAGTAAGAATTGGGCTGTCAAAGTCAATCTATTCTTGTCCAATTCTACGATTTCATTTGGGAACCTCATCAGCTTGCAGTTAATGAGGAAAAGCTCCCCAACTTAGAAAAATCGGAATGTTTCCAAAAATAGATATTTAGCTTTTCTTATTTACTGCTAGAAGCAACAAAGTCGTTCCTACCTACCACAAGCAAATGAAGTGTAAATTTGGCCAGCTTTTGCCGAGGAAGCCTGTTGCTGTTATTGTTGTTCGGAATTCTCTCACCTCTCAACATCTTGTTTTCCACTACGATTTTTCGGCGCGCCAGCCCCTCACCTAAGTAAGCTACTTTGCTTGTTGAATATGTTACCCTCTTCGGTCTGTTCTCGAAAACAAGTGCCGCATAGCTCATAACTGTGGCGAGGGCGGGGGACAGAGTGCACAAACGTCATTCTTGTCACACCTTATATGTGTCCATTTGCTCTGATATGGCCTCCCTTAGCTTGGCGTCCTCACCAGGGGGTGACGCCTTATAGATTGCAACTGAAGCTGTGGTCCGGCTTATTTTGACTACCTGGGACACTTCGAGCATCACGATGGTGTTTATTCCAGGGAGAGCGGGGAAACGCCTCATCAAGGTGGTTTGTGATCAGCAAGCGTGCTAAGATATCAGGCAGCTACTAGAAGATTATTTCCGGAAATCGCATATGAAAGCTATTAGTTTTTTTAGATGCCTCTGTTCTGGGCAATCACAAATGCGAATGCATAGATCGAGGGCGACGTCGTTGGTCATTTCTTCGGTTGTTGTTATTGCCTCTTTATAGAGGAGGGGCGGGGGAGGGCGGGGGGGAGAGGGCGAGAGGGGGGGGGGGGGGGGGCAAAAAAGACATTTTGCCCATGTCGCACTTCGGCCTTTTTTTCTTCGCAGAGATTGCCGTCGTTGACGGAAGTTCCTCAGCAAAGTATTCCCTAAATGTCCCTCTATAAGTAGACGCAGGCCCTCCTTCACTGCCCTCACCGTCTTCAGAATATGACGTCATCTGTCACCGTCGTCAAGCTCAAGGAGGTCTACCGTAACTGCTTCAGCCTGAAGCTCTTACATAATTTCGTGAATCGATTCAATGTTGGATAGTTTCCTAGAGGCATTAGCTCCACTATGCAAATCCCCTCGAAACTAGCTTTTCCAGTAAAGGTCGTTATGGTACACGATCCTTCGAAGACCCCATTGAGCTCGACCAGTGCACCATGTTTCCAGGGCAAATTCTTCTGATGCCGTCCACGTAGGTGGCCACTAAAGATTTTCTTATAGAATGAAATGTGCTCTTCAATAATAAGTTGGACCATTCGGTTTGAATTGAGCAAGTGTGATTAAATCCATCTGGATGTGGAGAC